GCTTGGCAATCTGTATGTGGAAGTTCATGGGTGAAAGCAATTAGGGGTGGAGGTGTGCAGGAGATGGGTTGCAGCTGGGTGTTACTGGATTTAAGGAGCTAACCTTGAGACTGATTTTGGGAGAAAAGGATCTGTTGCATTTTGGTGGTGGATGCTGTTGTTTTTCCCCCCAGGTCTGTTGGATTTTCGGTATCCTGACCTGCCTCCTGTAATCTTGGAACCCTTGAACCTTGAACCTTTGGACTGGCTTTTGACTACAGTATCCACTCTTGATCCCTGGACTCTGTTATTGAACTCTCAGTGTTTGACCACTGGACTGGACCCTTTTGATGACGAAGTTATTTTTGCTATCAGTTTTTGTTTATTCTGTAGCTGAGTGCTATCTTTATGTTTTATGCTTTGGTCTATTAAAACAGCCAGCAAGTAAGTGCTGTTTTAATTAAACTATTTGATAAAACTGGGAGTTTGATTCATCTCTACCTAAATAAGGTAGAGCCCTGGCAACGTGACAAGGCCCACACTTCCCATTGAAATACTAATAGGTTTATATTTGTTAAAATTGTTCTTCATTTTAATTATTGTATTGTTTTAAGTGTTTTTTGAACTACAAATAAGATATGTAGGAAAACTGGATAAAAATGTTCCACAGATGGTATACCACTCCTAAGAAATTATCTTTAATGAACAAGAATACTTCTGATAAATGTTGGAAGGGTTGCCATCAAACAGGTACTTTTTATCCTATGTGGTGGACGTGTAAAGAAATAGAGAAGTATTGGATGAAAGTACATGAAGAGCTACAAAAAATTTTGAAGAGAGTTTTTAAGAAGAAACCAGAATATTATCTATTGGGATTTACAGATTTGGAATTACAATTAGATGAGAATGAAGATAGACTATTTACCTATGCTACAACAGCGGCGAGAATATTATTGGCGAAGTTTTGGAAACAGGAAGATATCCCTACCACTGAAGAGTGGTTAGGGAAATTAAGAGAAATAAGAGAAATGGACGAATTAACTTTTTTCTTGAAAAAGAATACCGGGAACCCGATAAAGAGGACAGATTGGACTCTATATGAAAATTACGAAAAGGAAATAAATAAATAAGAGGAATACTATGAAGTGGATATAATGGAAATATCATTGAGGACACAACACCTGATGGAGAGATGGAAGTCAATTTTTATTTTATACTTTTTCTTTCCCTTTTTTCCCCCTTTTTTTTCTTTTTTTATTTTTTTAAAAATTTTTTTTGTGTGGCTTTTATATTTTTGTTTTTTTTTGGTGGACTTGGGGGTTGTTGTTGTTGTTCATTCGTTCAGTCGTCTCCGACTCTTCGTGACCTCATGGACCAGCCCACGCCAGAGCTCCCTGTCGGCCGTCACCACCCCCAGCTCCTTCAAGGTCAGTCCAGTAACTTCAGGGATGCCATCCATCCATCTTGCCCTTGGTCGGCCCCTCTTCCTTTTACCTTCCACTTTCCCCAGCATAATTGTCTTCTCTAGGCTTTCCTGTCTCCTCATGATGTGGCCAAAGTACTTCAACTTTGTCTCTATTATCCTTCCCTCCAATGAGCAGTCGGGCTTTATTTCCTGGAGGATGGACTGGTTGGATCTTCTCGCAGTCCAAGGCACTCTCAGAACTTTCCTCCAACACCACAGTTCAAAAGCATACACAGCACATACTTTGAGGAGTATCAATAGGCAGCTCAGAAGCATCGATCTTCCTTGGCTCAGCCTTCCCTAAGGTCCAGCTCTCACATCCGTAGGTGACTACAGGGAATACCATGCTTTGACTAGGCGGATCTTTGTTGTCAGTCTGATGTCTCTACTCTTCACTATTTTATCGAGACTGGACATTGCTCTCCTCCCAAGAAGTAAGCGTCTTCTGATTTCCTGGCCACAGTCTGCATCTGCAGTAATCTTTGCGCCTAGAAATACAAAGTCTGTCACGGCCTCCACATTTTCTCCCTCTATTTTCCAGTTGTCAATCATTCTTGTTGCCATAATCTTGGTTTTTTTTATGTTTAGCTGCAACCCAGCTTTTGCAGCTTTCTTCTTTCACCTTGATTAGAAGGCTCCTCAGCTCCTCCTCGCTTTTGGCCATCAAAGTGGTATCATCTGCATATCTAAGGTTGTTAATGTTTCTTCCAGCAATTTTCACCCCAGCCTTGCATTCATCAAGCCCTGCACATCGCATGATGTGTTCTGCATACAAGTTGAATAGGTTGGGTGAGAGTATACAACCCTGCCATACGCCTTTCCCAATCTTGAACCAGTCTGTTGTTCCATGGTCAGTTCTTACTGTTGCTACTTGGTTGTTATACAGATTCCTCAGGAGAGAGACAAGGTGGCTTTGCCCATCCCACTAAGAACTTGCCACATTTATTATGATCCACACAGTCAAAGGCTTTAGAATAGTCAATGAAGCAGAAGTAGATGTTTTTCTGAAACTCCCTGCCTTTCTCCATGGACTTGGGGGTAGGGGGATGTATTTCTTACTTTCTTCCTACTTTTCTATCATCTTTTTTAATATTCTCCCTCTTTCGATGTTATTTTTAAAACCTTAATAAAAATTATTATAAAAAAAAAAATAAGATATGTGCAGTGTGCATAGGAACTCATTCATGTTCTTTTGAAATTATAATTCGGCCCTCCAACAGTTTGAGGAACTGTGATCTGGCCCTCTGTCTAAATAGTCTGAGCACCCTTGATCTAGGGTGAAAGACCTGGAGCAGTGGAAGGCATGCATTTATGAAGTCAGTTGGGAAACTGGCTTTAGCATGAAAATTAAAAGAGCTATCCAATGTGCTGAAGTCTATTCCTGAAGTAGACTGCAACCTAAAGAGGTTCACCCTCCCACCTATCTTGAAGGCAGCACAAAACATCTACAGAGTGCCAGATATCCTTAGAAGAGAAATCAAGGAAGAGGCAACTGGTTTCTCTTCCAACCACAAATTATTGCCAGTTCTCACCAACATACCTCAGGTAGCGTGCTCAGTGCGCTGCTATCGCTTCTTCCTTTACCTCCAGATTCCTGCCTGCGCAACGTCTAGTGGGTTCCTGCCTTGACAAGAGGCAGCCGGAACAGCAATGAGAGTTTACTGGGTCAGTGGCTTGTCAACACATCAGGCTTTAGCTAGCAGGCCATAACTCAGATAAAGGGAGGTGTGTTAAGCAAGAAGAGCCTTATCGCTGAGTCAATTAAACATAGGAGAGGTTGACAGGCCGCAGCGCTGACCTTCCTTGAGTGAAACATTGATCCTTGAGCAGCAACAATCCCCTTGAGCCATGAGCGCAGCCCACCCTAACAGGAGGGACGTTGGCCAAAGAGCCTCTTCTGCACCTGTAGTCACAGGCCAACCGCCTTGGTTAGGCTTCCGCTCGGCACGCGGCGCATGTTCGCTGCTTCTCAGGCTCCCCAGCGGCAGGAAGGAAAGCTTTTATATCTTTTGGGGTTTCTGGTTGAGTAGTCAACCAAGGTTCTTACTGGGAATTACATTATGATGCTCTTGAGTAAGCATATTATTCAAAAAATGAGCTTAAACGCAGATTAAGCGACACGCATTTGGAATGGCAGCGAGCGAGTCGTTGGTAGGATTAAATTGGATCCTGACTGCAAAACAGAGCCGTCTCCTAATCCCCACAACCATTCGCTTACATTCTCGGGTGCCGCTTGCGCCTACTCAACTCCTGCGCTTGCCATTTACCGAACAGCCTGGAAGAGCTGGAAAAAACAAAACACCTGTAGGATGGCAAAAAGGAACTGATGGCAGGAAGAAAAAGAAAGCCCATCCTCTCCACTCAATGCTTGAGAGTTACATCCTGCTGCCATTGCCACTTTCCCGAACCAAATGAGAACGTTGCAACTTTTAAAGTCCTTCTTTACAAACAGACGTCAGGAGAAAGTGACCCATTTTCCTAATTCCAACAGACCTCACTACCTCTGAGGATGCTTGCCATAGATGCAGGCGAAACATCAGGAGAAAATGCCTCTAGAACATGGCCATATAGCCTGAAAAAACCTACAACAACCCAGAAGTATTTCCCTCTTGCTCTCTCCTCTTTGGTTCTTTTTTTAGAGAGATAATGCAGGATATAAGTAAATATAATAATATTAATCTGAGTGCTTTTTTTGCCCTTGGAGGAGCACACTAATCCTTCAGTTGTGAAAATGTCGAATTGGACGTTATAGTTTAACTTTTAATTAATGCATTTGGGGGAAGTGAGAGAAATTGACCATTTGCAAATGAAATAGGATGACGGTCAACCAATTTTGAACTCAGACATCAGTTCACTCTTTGCAAGCTGTCTTAAATCAAAGCCATCCTTCACAATCTCCAAGGCACAATTAACATATTCAATGTTTTGGAAAGTTACTTCACTGGCATGTCCTAAGTTTCCTTCAACCTGTCTTGATGAGACCATTGCACTGGTTCTGTAATGACTTTGAGACAGGACAGGGAAAGAGAGGGCAAAGGAAGGCCCTAAACGGTTTTGGCCCGACCTGTCTGAACGCATCTCCTCCTATGAACCATTTAGGACGTTAAGATCATCTGGGGAGGCCTTGCTCTCGGTCCCGCCCGCTTCACAAGCACGCCTGGCGGGGACGAGAGACAGGGCCTTCTCAGTAGTGGCCCCTTGGCTGTGGAACGCCCTCCCTACAGACATCAGATCGGCCCCCTCCTTATTGGCATTCCGGAAGAGAGTGAAGACATGGCTCTTCGAACAGGCTTTCAACTAAGCAGTGCAATTGATTGATTACTGGAATATGGATTAATGGACAACGAGATCGGATGCTGATTCTATTGATGAGACGTGATGAATTGTTATTTTGCTGTATTGTTGTATTGATGTTTTGATGTTAATTAATTGATATTACTGTTTTAAATGACTAATGATTTTGTATTGTGTTGTTGATACTGGTTTTTAACCGCTCTGAGACGCCTGAGGGCTGAGAAGAGCGGTATACAAGTGAAGTAAATAAATAAGTGGTTACCGAGCGATTTGGGCAAGAGGTTCTTGACGAACTCGGCGTGGTCTCCCACGTGCAAGATGCTGTAGACACTTGTGTTCATGAGTTCCTCCTGGTTGTAGCCCAAGTAGCTGGTCACATTCTCGGACACAAACACGATCCGTCCTTCGCGATTCACGACAAAGAAGAAGCCATCGAGCGCCTGCAGGAGGCAGAGGAAAACCGTAAGCATAATCAACAACAATAACATATGGGGGAGTGGAGTGTTTGGGGATGTAAATACAATATTTTAAGACAAAGTACATATAATTACTCTCCCCTAGAAAAAACTATATATTAGGAATGTTGGAAATGACAACCTTCTTGAAGCCTTCTCTAGTAATGTTTTATCTATGATTCTTTTGCTTACTGATTCCTGTATATATGTTCTGATATGCAGCTTCCTTTACTCTATAGTTCCTGGGAAGTTATAAAAGGGACTGCCAACCACATGCTCTCTCTCTCTCTCTCTCTCTCTGTCTCCTTTTGACTATGTGACCTGTTGATAGCTGTTTTTGTTACAAGAAAGATGCCTTGACTGGATGGCACAGAGAATTACCTCAAACATATCTGAAACTGGAGTGATAAGCTTTGTACCTGTGTATGCTGAACACACGAAGGTTGTGAGTAAACCTTCAGTAGTCTTAGGTCCAGCTATTGAAAATGAAGAAGCATCTACGCTTGTATCTAGGGACAGAGGGAACTCTGTGGTGCATGCCTGTTTTTCAGCTCTGTTTCTCAGATCTATGTAACCCAAGGTACCCCCAAATGACAAAATCAATACCCCTTCCCCCCAACCCTACCACTATTCATTTTTGGGCATATCAGGTATTTGTGGCAAATTTGGTACAGTGATTGAAAATACATCCTGCATATCGGATAGTTACATAATGATTCATAGCAGTAGTAAAATTACAGTTGTGAAGTAGCAACAAAAATAATTTTATGGCTGGGGGTCACCACAACATGAGGAACTGGATTAAGGGGTCGCGACATTATGAAGCTTGAGAACCACTACTTTAGTGCTTTATTATTTATTTACTGTATTTGTATACCGCCTTTCTCAGCCTATCGGCGACTCAGTGCTTCATTACTTTACTTTAGTGCTTCATTAGCCTTTGTTTGAGATGGGGAGCATCATGAGGTTTTTCTGCCCCAAGATGGTACACACAGACATGAGAGTCAGCATTAGGGCTCCTCTACCAAATTTTGGTAACTTTCTTTTGTCTGTGAATTTATTTATTTATTTATGGCATTTATTTTCACCCCAAAGGGAACTCAGAGTGGCTTACAATATATATTTTCATACAATATATTATATTATTAGCATAGTACAATATCAGTATTATGTTACTATATTGCACTATACCATTATATTGTAATATCATTAGTAATATTACATGTAATGTAAATATATAATTATAATATTGTATTATTATTATTACTAGTAATACATTGTATTACATTATGATATTATAAATATTATATGTATATACAATATACTATATTATATTATGTTTGTTACAAGAGAGATACCTTGGCTGAATGGCACAGAGAATTACCTCAAACATATCTGAAACTGGAGTGATAAGCTTTGTACCTGTGTATGCTGAACACACGAAGGTTGTGAGTAACCCAAATATAGTCTTAGGTCCAGCTGTTGAAAATGAAGAAGCACCGGAATTGTGGCGCAGCTGGCTGAGTATCAGCTGCATTAAGATCACTCTGACCAAAAGGTCATGAGTTCGAAGCCAGCCCGGGTTGGAGTGGGTTTCCAACCATTGTGTAGCCTGTTGTTGACCTTTGCAACCCGAAAGACAGTTGCATCTGTCAAGTAGGAAAATAAGGTACCACCTTAAAGTGTGGGGGGGCTAAATTAACTAATTTATGAAGCCATAAAGAAGACTCCAGCAAAAGCATGTGGGGAATGTGGAAGTACTACATCAGTGTCGCAGATGGACGATGAAAGCGACAGCTCCCCTGGCAGCTAGAAAAAGTTAAAGAGCCTCTGTCTATGTCTGTATATGTTGTATGTCAAAAATTGGCATTGAATGTTTGCCATATATGTGTACACTGTAATCCACCCTGAGTCCCCTGCGGGGTGAGAAGGGCGGAATATAAAAGCTGTAAATAAATAAATAATAAATAAATTAAATAGTATCAGGCCTGTAGCGAGGGGGTGGTTTTAGGGGTTCAACCCCCCCCCCCCGAAATGTTTCAGTTTTTTTTTTAAAAAAACCTGGTTTACTCATGAATTTTAACTGGTTAACCAAATCCCCATGCTAAGTCTATGAGATGCAAAAAATTAAGAGTCCCTCCAGAACTGTAAGCACTATCTCAAGCAAATATTGACAATTTATTCACACTGTCATTACTTGCAGCAATAGCCGATGTAGTGAAGCAACCAAGTGGGGGGGGGAGGTGTTGAATGCTCTCATTAAGGAGGCCAGACTTGGTGGAGGTGGTTGACAGGGGCGGAGCTGCAGGCTATTGAAGGTTGCTCTGCCCCTGCTGTGCTCTTTGCTTCAGCGTGAGCTAGGAGGCAGGTTTCAACCCCCCCCCCGAAATTTTCAACCCCCCCCCCAAATTTCAACCCCCCCCCCCCCAAATTGTCAACCCTCCCGAATTTTTTTTCTGGCTACGGCCCTGAATAGTATATTACATGCAAAGTGAGTTTTTACTTTTTTAAACCTTACCAGAGCACCCTGTGTATTTTCTCTCCTGTTTCCTACCATTAATTGAATGTATAGCACTGGCTATGTTGCACACTACTCTGCGATAGACACCAAATATTTCTACAACAGCTACCAAACAATATGTGCATAGCTGGCAACATTGGTGCCCTTCTTCTGTGCAAGTGCTAAGCAGCTAAACACCCTCTGCTTGGCTTCACACCCTTTATATTTGACTGGACTTGCTTTTTCTCCAACCTGTTATGTTAACATTATAAAGAAGCAATTTCCAACCAAACTGAAGCACCGTCCCCAGATTCCTGCCAAAACTGGGCCTTGGCCTGCAGTTTCCCTGAGTCACAGCTGTTGCCCGTTGCTACGCGACCCGAGGCTTCGGCACCACATGGAAAGGGGCGGCATGCAAAGCGAGGCCAAGCAGATTCCTGTCTGTAGCGAGGCACCCTCCCATTCCCTGGCTAACTTTCCAGCTGCTTCAGCACATCTCTCAGCTTCGCCATTACGCTGGATGCTGCGTAGGGTTTGGAAAGGGAAAAGGCGGCATATGAATAAACCAGGCAGGATATACAGCAGGCAAAAGGAAGAGAGGGAGTCAACAGCTCAGAAACGATGTCAGCTGTAAATCAATCTCAGCCCCATTAACACAGCAGCCGGCCTGATGCCTAAGCAGCGTGCCTCCGGTCCTGAATAATCCATTCCCGGAAACGAAGAGCAGGGCCCCTGCCTCTCTCCTGAGCATCCTAAAGCGCAGAGCCATGGAAATTAGCCCAGCCACAGCCACGCAGCGCTGGGCTTTGGGAGGTGGCAGGGCGCAGGGTTCACAAGGAGGAACCAGCTAATGAGCCGCAAGGCTTTCCCAAAAGGCAGCTCCCTCAGGGATAATGTGACATTTCCGCAGCAATTGCCAGGTTCCACCTTCCTCTTTGCCCCGCAGAACAGAAAAAGAGCAATGCAGCCTTCGAAAAAAGCCAATACGGTGATCCTTGAATTACAGTGGAAGGCAAAATGCAGAGCTTCTAAAAGAGGGAAGTGCATATTGACAATCTGTGAAGCGGGTTGTTGTAGTTTTTTTCGGGCTATATGGCCATGGTCTAGAGGCATTCTCTCCTGACGTTTCGCCTGCATCTATGGCAAGCATCCTCAGAGGTAGTGAGGTCTGTTGGAACTAGGAAAATGGGTTTATATATCTGTGGAATGACCAGGGTGGGACAAAGGACTCTTGTCTGCTGGGACTAGGTGTGAATGTTTCAACTGACCACCTTGATTAGCATATAATGGCCTGACAGTGCCTAGAGCAAACCCTTGTTGAGAGGTGACTAGATGTCCCCATCCGTTTCCTCTCTGTTGCCGTGCTGCTGCAATTCTAGAGTTTTTTTTAACACTGGTAGCCAGACCTTGCCCACCTTCACGGTTTCCTCCTTTCTGCCGAAACTGTCCACACGCTTGTGTATTTCAATGGCCTCTTGGTGCAGTCCGACACGGCGGTTGTGAGAGTAGCGCAAAACCTCTGCGCTCTCAAATCTAGTCTAGTTACCTCTCAACAAGGGTTTGTTCTAGGCACTGTCAGGCCATTATATGCTGTCCTTTGTCCCACCCTGGTTATTCCACAGATATATAAACCCTTTTTCCTAGTTCCAACAGACCTCACTACCTCTGAGGATGCTTGCCATAGATGCAGGCGAAACGTCAGGAGAGAATGCCTCTAGACCATGGCTTTATAGCCCGAAAAAACCTACAATAACCCAGTGATTCCGGCCATGAAAGCCTTTGACAACAAATCTGTGAAGCATTCCAAACACAACGGCCAGCATGATGTAATGATTTGAGTTTAGAAGATCTGGGTTTGAATATTCCGCTACTCATAGATCCCACTTGCCAAATTTGGGCAAATTACATCCCCTCAGCCGCAAATGGAATCAAGAAATAAATCAAGAAATAGTTTTCTAAGATCTACAGAGTCACTCGCTGGAACACCTCAGCAAGCAAGAGTCCAAAAGTGGCAGGCTCAAATCCAGAACCTCAATCCATGGCTGATACCAAATGAGAGACTCCCTCCTGGGCACACAGAAGACTGGGCGAATTAGAAGGCACTGAACAGACTGCGCTCTGGCACCATGAGATGCAGAGCCAACCTCAAGAAATGGGGCCACAAAGTGGAATCCACGACATGCGAGTGTGGAGAAGAGCTAACTACAGACCACCTGCTGCAATGCAACCTGAGCCCTGCTACATGCACAATGGAGGACCTTCTTATAGTCACACCAGAGGCACTCCAAGTGGACAGCTACTGGTCAAAGGACATTTAATCAACTACCAAGCTTGCAAATTTTGTGTTTTGATTGTTTGTTTGTTTGTTTGTTTGTTTGTTAAAAATGCAATACAATTGTTTAGTTTGCTCCTGAGACGATAAATAAATAAATAAGCTGCAAATGACAGCAATAAGCAAAACCTCTCTGGAAAATTCCTTGGAAAACTCTGACTTGAGACCATGGTTCAAATCACAGCTCAGCCAAGGAAACCTTGGGTAAGGCACATTCTCTCAGCCTCAGAAGGAGATACTTCCAATTCCCCTCTTTGAACAAACCCTGCTAAGAAAATCCTGTGATAAATTTGCCTTCGCTTTGTTGGGAAACTAACAATCTAGCATGCACATTGAAATGGCTCTCTTGTCTCCATGTTTCTGTGTTAACTCTCTTCCTTTCCTGTCAGTTTTATGGTACCCTCAATTAACATTTGCATGGGGCTTTGGGGATCTTCTAGAGCAGAAAGTGGTTGTGCTGCAACCTATTGTCAAAAGCTTTCATGGTCAGAATCACAGGGTTTTTGTAGGTTTTTTCGGGCTATATGGCAATGTTCAAGAGGCATTCTATCCTGGCGTTTCGCATGCATCCATGGCAAGCATCCTCAGAGGTAGTGAGGTCTGTTGGAACTAGGAAAGTGGGTTTATATATCTGTAGAATGACCAGGGTGGGACAAAGAACTCTTGTCTGTTGGAGCTAGGTGTGAATGTTTCAACAATCACGGACTTCTAATCACCTCTCAACAAAAGATTGCACTAACAAGCCACACCAAAAAACTACCAGGCCATCAAATGCTAATCAAGGTGGTCAGTTGAAACATTCACACCTAGCTCCAACAGACAAGAGTTCTTTGCTCCACCCTGGTCATTCCACAGATATATAAACCAATTTTCCTAGTTCCAATAGACCTCACTACCTCTGAGGATGCTTGCCATAGATGCAGGCGAAACGTCAGGAGAGAATGCCTCTAGACATGGCCATATAGCCCGAAAAAACCAATACAGCCCATGTACACAATCCTTTTGAAGTCAAAGGTTATAAAAGAGGTGCTTCCCTTTGTTCCCCGCTAACCGTTTAGGAAGAAGTTCCTTAGAAGAGTGACTCTCATCAGTTCAAGCATGTAGATTGCATGCTGCATGGCCTATGCTCAAGCTGAGAAGTCTATCCTTTACCATCTATTTTTGGATTATACCTTTTGGATGATCTCCAATGAAGTTAAGCTGTACCTGTGTGATCCCTTTTACACAAGTTTTCATGAGTAAACTATTTTAATTACATCTTTGAAGTCTTTTGTTTTCTGGCATAAGGTAAAGGTTTTCCCTGATATTAAGTCCAGTCGCGTCTGACTCTGGGGGTTGGTGCTCATCTCCATTTCTAAACCAAAGTGCTGGTGTTGTCCGTAGACATCTCCAAGGTCATGTGGCCGGCATGACCGCATAGAGTGCTGTTACCTTCCTGCCGGAGTGGTACCTATTGATCTACTCATATTTGCATGTTTTCGAATCTGCAATCTTTCCGTAAGCAAGTTCAGCAGCTCAGCAGTTTAACCCACTGCATACTGAGTATATTCCTTTGCATGCTAAGGGGATGCTGTGATCAACCATTAAGTAAGCTTTGACTCTGCCTGTATCTTATTTAGAAAGCAAGCAATACTACAATCCTTTTTGCCTCTGCTCATCCACTGTGTTTTGCTCTGCTAATGTTATGCTAAAAAGGAAAGCTAAACTTTCCCAAGTTGATTAGTTTCTCTCGTCAAATGTCTGAGCCCTTCCACATGTCTAGCATTTACATATCTAACTAGCATTGCTGTAAGTTAGAAACTACGGACAGCCCCTGAGTTACAAACATTCAACTTACAATCGACTCCTAGTTAAGAATGGGGGTGAGACAACAGGAAGTGAGAGAAATCTACCCCTAGTATGGGAAATTCACTTTTGGAAGAATTCCCATCATGGGGAAAAGGTGCCTCCGCTGAAGCTTTATCCCCAATAATTGTTTCCACAATAAGCCAATTTTTTCAAAATTCAATGATCACAGAGACAGAAAGCAAGGTGAAATCTTCTGAACAGGGGCACAGTCAGCAAAACACACACCACAGGGATGTTAAACCTTCTCTATGTTATGCAAAGCATGCATGTGTGTGTGTGTGTGTGTGTACACACACACACACAAGCTGTCCCCTGCCACATGTTGCTGTGGCCCACATGGGGGTTCTGTGTGGGAGGTATGGCCCAATTCTATCGTTGGTGGTGTTCAGAATGCTCTGTGATTGTAGGTGAATTATAAATCCCAAATGTCAGGATTCCCAAATGTCAAGATTCTATTTTCTCCAAACTCCACCAGTGTTCACATTCGGGCATATTGAGTATTCTTGTAGAGTTTGGTCCAGATCCATCATTGTTTGAGTCCACAGTCATCTTTCGATGTAGGTTAACTACAACTCCAAAACCAAAGGACACTGCCCACCAAGCCCTTTCAGTATTTTCTGTTGGTCATGGGAGAACTGTGTGTCAAGTTTGGTTCAATTCCATCGTTGGTGGGGTTCAGAATGTTCTTTGATTGTAGGTGAACTATTAATCTCAGCAACTACAACTCCCAAATGACAAAAACATATTTTTTTTGAGCGAAGGACATACATTGGGTTGTTAGGTGTCTTGAGCCCAAATTTGGTGTCAACTCATCCAGTGGTTTTTGAGTTCTCTTAATCCCTCAAACGAACATTACATTTTTATTTATATAGATATACACACACATACACACAAGCCGTCCCCTGCCAAGCGTTGCTGTGGCTCAGTCTGTGTATATGTGTTTTGTATGTTTACGTTATGTGTATATGTGTGTGTGTTATATATATATGTGTTATGTGTATCTGTTTGTGTATATATGTGTGTTTGCGTATATATGTGTGTTTGTTCTCCAAGGATCTGGAGAACAAGCCCTATGAGGAGCGGCTTAAGGAGCTGGGCATGTTTAGCCAGAAGAAGAGAAGGCTGAGAGGAGATGTCATAGCCATGTATGTGAGAGGAAGCCACAGGGAGGAGGGAGCAAGCTTCCTTTCTGCTTCCCTGGAGACTAGGATGTGGAACAATGGCTTCAAACTACAAGAAAGGAGATTCCATCTGAACATGAGGAGGAACTTCCTGACTGTGAGAGCCGTTCAGCAGTGGAACTCTCTGCCCCGGAGTGTGGTGGAGGCTCCTTCTTTGGAAGCTTTAAAACAGAGGCTGGATGACCATTTGTCAGGGGTGATTTGAATGAAATATTCCTGCTTCTTGGCAGAATGGGGTTGGACTGGATGGCCCATGAGGTCTCTTCCAACTCTTTGATTCTATGATTCTATGATATGTGGTTTTGTGCATGTGTTATAATGTATTTTTTTGTTTTTTGGCTTTTAAGTCCCTTCCGCTGTGTTTTTCAGTCTTTTTATGAGTGATGTTCACTCGTTGGCCTGATAGGTGTCTTGTGTCCAAATTTGGTGTCAATTCGTCCAGTGTTTTTTGAGTTATGCTAATCCCACAAATGAACATTACATCTATCTATCTGTCTATCTATCTATCTATCTATCTATCTATTCTATCTATCTATCTGGAGTTACACTTTAAAATGTGCCTGCTTCAACTTACATAAAAATTCAACTTAAGAGCACACCTACAGAACCTATCTTAGGTTCTTGTGGGTTTTTTCGGGCTATATGGCCATGTTCTAGAGGCATTTTCTCCTGACGTGTTCGCCTGCATCTATGGCAAGCATCCTCAGAGGTAGTGAGGTCTGTTGGAGTTTGGAAAATGGGTTTATATATCTGTGGAATGACTGGGGTGGGGCAAAGAGCTCTTATCTGCTGGAGCTACGTGTGAATGTTTCAACTGACCACCTTCATTAGCATTTGAAGGCCTGGCTGAGCTTGGGGGAATCTTTTGTTGAGAGGTGTTAAGATGTGCCTGGTTGTTTCCTCTCTGCTGTTTTGCTGTTGTAATTTTAGAGTTTTTAAAAACCAATCTTGTTCATAACTTGGGGACTGCTATTGTTAAAGACACATAACAGCCAAAAAGATAAGTTCTGCCAGACCCAATGTCTATTTTCACATATGGAAGGATGAATCCTCCCTGATGCTTGAAAGGCTATGGCAATGCAAACACAGAAAAGCCTTTTCCTGTGGCGCAGGGCAGTGGGGAGCAGCTGCCTCCTGAAGCACATACCTCCAGAAGGAGAGGCCCCAGGGATTCCTTCTCAATCACTCCTTGGCTGCTGGACGAGATATCGGATTTCTGGACATCATCATCAGCTGTTTTCTCTGTAACACAAAAAAACCACACTTTTTTAGCCATGGAGAATTCACTTTCATTTTTGAGCACCTCTGTGCTATTCTGAAAGGGTCTGTACAGAAAGCAGAACAAACACTGGGAAGGCTGGCAACTAAGATTATGCCGAGGGACAAACGAGAAAAGAAACCGAGAAGAAAGAAACACATGGGAAGATGGAAGCACAATAAGGCTTTCTGTTCACAGCCAGGGCCAATCTGCACTGAGAAACAAGAATGGTAGCTCTCTTGGAAAGGATCTCGGCAAGTGAGGCTTAGACACAAAGAGCGACAGAGAGAGAAAGAAAAATAAAGTAAGGAGAGATTTTGAAGTCTCAGAGCAGCAGTGGTTCTGAAGACAAAATGGGCACCAAGTGATATGTCAAGTTGGACTCATACTTCAGGACAGGGATTTTGCTTCCCAGATTTCACAAACAAAGTGAGATGTAGAGGGGATTTTGTCCACAACTGACTGCTAACCTCCTCCTTTTGTACCTTCTTAGGGAGAGGCTCAGGAGCACAGGATGGCTGTGGTTGACTCCAGGGTGAAGGTGGTAATAGATTAAATTCTCATAAAATCACAGAATCCTGGCTCTGGAAGAGACCAGAAGGGCCATGCAGTCCAACCACCTTCTGTCCTGCAGGAAGACACAATCCAAGCCCTCTCGACAGATGAACATCCAGCCTCTGTTAAAAATCTCAAAGGAAGGAGGCTCCATTGGAGTACCAGGAAACATTCCATTGCTGAACTACTCTAGTAAAGGTAAAGTTTTCCCCCTGACATTAAGTACAGTCGTGTCCGACTCTGGGGATTGGTGCTCATCTCCATTTCTAAGCTGAAGACCTGGCATTGCACCGGGATTGTGGCACAGCTGGCTGTCAGCTGCATTAAGATCACTTCTGACCAAAAGGTCATGAGTTCAAAGCCAGCCCGGGTTGGAGTGAGCTTCCGACCAATTGTGTAGCTTGTTGTCAACCTTTGCAACCCAAAAGACAGTTGCATCTGTCAAGTAGGAAAATTAGGTACCACCTATGTGCGGGGAGGCTAATTTAACAATTTATGAGGCCATAAAAAAGACTCCAGCAAAGCACTCCAGCAAAGCATGTGGGGAATGCGGAAGTACTTCATCAGTGTCGCAGATGGACAATGAAAGCGACAGCTCCTCTGGCGGCCAGAAAAAGTTAAATAGCCTCTGACTTTCTGTCTATATCTGTTGTGTGTCTTTGGCACTGAATGTTTGCCATTGTAATCCGACCTGAGTCCCCTGCGGGGTGAGAAAGGCAGAATATAAATACTGTAAATAAATAAATAAATAACTAGTCCGTAGACACCACCAAGGTCATGTGGCTGGCATGACTGCATGGAGAACCGTTACCTTCCTGTCGGAGCGGTACCCATCGATCTACTCACATTTGCATGTTTTTGAACTGATAGGTTGGCAGAAGCTAGGGCTGACAGCAGGAGCTCACGCCGCTCCCTGGATTCAAACCTGCAGTTTTTCGGTCAACAAGTTCAGCAGCCCAGCGGTTTAACCCACTGCACCACCAAGGGCTCCTTGAACTGCTCTAACCATCAGCAAGTTTGCCCTAATGTTTTCCTGCAGCTTGACTCCATTTCTCCATTATGTCCTAGCTCAGTGGTTCTCAACCTCGGGTCCCCAGATGTTTTTGGGCTACAACTCCTAGATATCCCAGCCAGTTTACCAGCTGTTAGGATTTCTGGGAGTTGAAGGCCAAAAACATCTGGGGACCCCAGGTTGAGAACCGCCTCTAGAGCACCAGAAAACAAGCTTGTCCTTTCCTCAATGAGATCCTGTCCCCTGGGTCATTAGGTATCCTCCCCTCTCTTTGTGGACACCTGAACATATGTTGAGGGGGAGGGGGCAAGGGAAGGAGGGAGAGAAAGGTGGGGAGGGATGCAGAGCCTTGCCAACTGCTGAGAGATGGACAGGAGGGACATATTTTTGTGCTGTCCAGTTCTACGTCTGAGTTCATAAAGGCACAGCTGTCCACAGCCTCTGACTCTTGACTTCCAGCTGCTCATTTGAGTGCATTCTGTACATGCTGAGAGAGAAAGAGAGGCCACTCTAGGGGAGCGGAGAGAGCTAGAATGCACACATAAGGAGCAGGCACAATGCACAAGGCAGGACAAAAGGCAGGAACGCAACTGAAGATAGCACAAGTCACAGGCAAACCTTGTTGTCTCTCCTTCTGCTCCCGCCCCAACATCAGCGGTTCCCTACTTAAGAGCAAGGCATCGGTTTTCAATCTAATCCTTTAATTGGTCGGTGGAATCCTTCTCCAACTTTAGCAAAATAGTTTCATAGAGCACTTCCAAGCCTGTTATTCGGTAGGATTAACTGGTGGAAAGAGGCGCCATGGCCCTTGTGCCTGGAAGCCCTTTCCGTCTCCCAACGCAAGGGAAGCGGGGCATTCAGACACGTTTCTTTGCAGGAGAAGCCAAAAATGAAATGTCTCCACCCTGCAAAACCAGGCTTCCAATGCAACTCAACACCATAGTCCTTTATTTACTTTTTAAAGCGTATGAACAGAGTGACACTTTAAGAAGCTCTTTGGCACATTCTAGGCATCAAGCACCTCTCAGTTGCCTCCAGACTTGGATGGAGGTCAATAGGTTATGGGCCCCTGACCCCAAAGCTGGTCTCTGAGGCCAAGCACCAGACCATGTATGATAGCTATGCATAAATATGTGAGAGGAAGCCACAGGGAGGAGGGAGAAAGCTTGTTTACTGCTTCCATGGAGATTAGGCCAAGGAGCAATGGCTTCAAACTACAAGAAAGGAGATTCCTAGGTTCTTGTAGGTTTTTTCGGGCTATAGGGCCATGTCCTAGAGGCATTTCTCCTCTAGAAATGCCTCTAGAACATGGCCCTATAGCCCGAAGAAACCTACAAGAACCTAGTGATTCCAGCCATGAAAGCCTTCGACAATACAAAGGAGATTCCATCTGAACATGAGGAAGAACTTCCTGACTGTGAGAGCCGTTCAGCAGTGGAACTCTCTGCCTCGGAGTGTGGTGGAGGCTCCTTCTTTGGAAGCTTTGAAACAGAGGCTGGATGGCCATCTGTCAGGGGTGATTTTAACGCAATATTCCTGCTTCTTGGCAGAATGGGGTTGGACTGGATGGCCCATGAGGTCTCTTCCAACTCTTTGATTCTATGATTTCTCTGCACACAAGGAGATACGGAGAACTTCCCTTGGCTTTTCTCAGCTTACTCTAAAAATAACCAAAGGATCTCTAAAGTCAACACTCTTCAAGGTCTATGTTCAACTATTGGCACCAACTAAATAAGACCCACTGAATCAATGGGGACTTGGGAAGCCAACACATATGAACTTTCACTGAGACATGGATGTGTTTGCCTTTGAGGTACTTCAAGCTATACTGGTATCTTAACACCATATTCCTTTATTGAGTTGTTGTAGGTTTTTTTCGGGTTACATGGCCATGTTCTAGAGGCATTCTCTCCTGACGTTTCGCCTGCATCTATGGCAAGCATCCTCAGAGGTAGTGAGGTCTGTTGGAACTAGGAAAATTGGGTTTATATATCTGTGGAATGACCACGGTGGGACAAAGAACTCTTGTCTGCTGGAGCTAGGTGTAAATTTTTCAACTGACCACCTTGATTAGCATTTGATGGCATGGCAGTTTTTTGGTGTGGCTTGTTTGTGTCTGGGGAAATCTTTTGTTGAGAGGTGTTTAGCTGTCCCTGATTGTTTTCTCTCTGTTGTTTTTTTGCTGTTGTAATTTTAGAGGTTTTATAAATACTGGTAGCCAGATTTTATTCATTTTCATGGTTTCCTCCTTTATTCCTTTATAAATATTCCTTTATTTCTTCCTCCTTCCCACTCTGAGAGTGGGAATCAAAGCAGTTTATAAATACTGAAACACATACAAAACATAGAAATATACTACTGAACATCTATGAAAAATATTGCTAAAATGCTCCTGCCTACAGAACAAAAAACAATGTATTGAGGAGACAAAATAAAAAAGGAAACAAAACAGTAAATAGGGAGAGTTAACAAAATATTCTATAATCAGTTCCTGTGGGACTGTGGGAAGATTAAATGTTTGAATTAACCGATGGAAGGATAGCAAAGAAGGAGTTTCCAAGCCTGCAAACAGCCCCTGAGAAAGCCCTCTCCATGGGTTCCTACCAGACACGGCTGTGAAGCTGATGGGACCAAGGGAAGGGCTAGGGTTAGGCTCAAATAGCAAGACATGGTCCTTAGAAAGCCTAGATACAAGCCATAGAAAACTCAGAGAAACAACTGGATCCAAAGCAGGTTCAGGGCAAAGGAAGAGCCTCTTGGGTTGCGCCTCTTCAGGACCTACTCATCAGCTTTGCCAGGTCTGTATCTTCTCAAGGGGATCCAATTGCTGAAGGAGTCCTCGTGGACAACAAGTTAAACATGAGCCAACAATGTGATGTGGCGGCAAAAAAAGCCAATGGGATTTTGGCCTGCATCAATAGGAGCATAGTGTCTAGATCTAGGGAAGTCATGCTACCCCCTCTATTCCGCTTTGGTTAGACCACACCTGGAATATTGTGTCCAATTCTGGGCACCACAATTGAAGACAGATATTGACAAGCTGGAATGTGTCCAGAGGAGGGCGACTAAAATGATCAAGGGTCTGGAGAACAAGCCCTATGAGGAGTGGCTTAAGGAGCTGGGCATGTTTAGCCTGAAGAAGAGAAGGTTGAGAGGAGATATGATAGCCATGTATAAATATGTGAGAGGAAGCCACAGGGAGGAGGGAGCAAGCTTGTTTTCTGCTTCCCTGGAGACTAGGACGCGGAACAATGGCTTCAAACTACAAGAGAGGAGATTCCATCTGAACATGAGGAAGAACTTCCTGACTGTGAGAGCCGTTCAGCAGTGGAACTCTCTGCCCCGGAGTGTGGTGGAGGCTCCTTCTTTGGAAGCTTTTAAACAGAGGCTGGATGGCCATCTGTCAGGGGTGATTTT